TATATATTATTTTTTGAGGGGTGGGTTAGTGAGACAGGGTCTCACTATAACCTTGGCTGGCCTGGAACTCATTATATAGACCAGGCTGGCCCTGAACTCACAGAGATCCACCTGCCTCTGCCTCCTAAGTGCTGGGATTAAAGGCGTGCACCACCATGCCTGGCAAATTTCCCAGAAGAAAATAGTGAGGGGGGAAGCAGCCATCTACAAGAGTAGTGGTCTGAGGATTCAGGGTTCTCCTGTTCAGTGTAGTCAAGAAAATAGTGAGATGTCAAGCAGCCGTCTACAAGAGTAGTGGTCTGAGGATTCAGGGTTCTCCTGTTCAGTGTAGTCATCAGGAAAGCTGCAGTGGGAAGCAGTGAGAAGTGTGGGAAGCAGAGCTAGAATGAGGTTTCAGGGAGATGTGGTGGCCTGGAAAACAGGCTATGGTCAGCTAGGTTAGTGCTTCTCAACCTGTGGGTCACAACCCATTTGGAGATAATATATTAGATACTTACATTACAATCCATAACAGTAACAAAATTACAGTTATGAAGTAGCAACAAAATAATTTTATGGTTGGGATCACCACAATATGAAGACTGTACTAAAGGGTTGCAGCATTAGGAAGGTTGAGAACCCTGTTCTAGGTGTTTTGCCTGCTGCTGGAAACGTACACAGGAATACAAGATGATGGAGTTGGGTCCCCCCAACTGTCTACAGATTTATCTGACTGGATTCTTTATCTCATGTGTAGTGTTATTCTAAAAACACTTGTAGAAGCTGAAGAGACAGCTCAGCAGTTAGGAGCTTATGTTGTTCCAGAAGACCCAAGTCCAGTTTCTAGAACCCATGTTGGGTGGTTCTCAACCATGCTCCAATTTTGGGGGAGGATTTGATGCCTCTGGCTTCCAAGGGCATCAGCATTCATGTGCACAAACCCCACACAGAGACACACATAATTAAGAATAATGAGCTGGGCATTGGTGGTGCACACCTGTAATCCTAGTACTTGGGAAGCAGGGGTAGGTGGATCTCTGGGAGTTCAAGGACAGCCTGATCTACAGAGTGAGTTCCAGGATAGCCAGGACTGTTACACAAAGAAATTATGTCTCAAAAAATGAAATTAAAAAGAAAATCTCCTAAAAATATGAGCCTTGAATAATAATGAAGAATAAACATCTTTTACAGAAGGCCCTGCTATGGGTGGGGGCTTCTCAGCATGAACTGCCATGAAGCCACAGACAGTGCTTCCAGGCAGCAGGAAGGCTAAGCTCCACTGACCTCATCTCCATCACTTCCCGCCTGCTTTCTTCATATTTGTCCCTCCATTCTGAGACTTCTCTTTCCTTGGAGATAACCTACGGTCAGGGAGAGGAGAAAGGCAGAGCCCAAATGAGTGCATTCAGTTCTGACCAAATCCTGGACACATCTTATACACATGGGATGAAAACTTCTCACACAAAACCAGGATTCCATCCAGGAGGGAGCAACCATGACAAGGTATCTTCTATAGCATGTCAGCCTTGCTTGTTGGCATGGTAACTAGGCAGCACAGAACCCATGGTGTGCCACCCAGCTAGCTTGCAGTGTTTAGAGGACGGTCTGCCTCCAAAGAGGAGCTTCATGGGTAAATTTGGTTATTGACAACTGGCAGACTCAGGTCATATCCCACTGTCAAGAATATGGCCCTTGACATGACAGGTCTCATACCTCTGCTCTGGCAACCTGGAGTGCAGAGTCGAGGTCTGGCTGCTGGAACAGAAGACCAGGGGGTTTCTCCACCTCAGTGGGCCCGATGCGGGAGTACAAGGCAGTTTTGGAGATGGAGACGTCTGGTGGGTGAGCAGCTTCCCTCTGTGGGTTTTTTTTTTCATTAAAGAGAAGAAGAAACAGAGAATAGTCACCACTAATGGCATGACAGACAGGGTTGCACGCATGGCCTTGAGAACAGCATTCACCCGCTCAGCTGTATGGTTTTGAAACAAAGAACATCGAAGGGATGAGAAAATGCAAAGACTCATGGATGGGTAATGCCAGGTCCAGGGGATGGAAAGCCTTCATGTTGCACATGATGAGATGGCAGCCTCTGTAACTAGGAACCCTGGGGGCCCGGCCTGTCTGTGACCCACTTACTGCTGCCATTTATCAGATGCTGAGCCTACTAGGCACTGTAAGTAAAGACCAGTCATTATTCTGTTGGCCCCACTTCCAAAATAAAGTCTTTCTGGGGACCGGTTTGAATGCAGGTCTACATTGCCTAGTTTTGAATAGCTGAAGTTAGATCATTTTTGTGACTTGACCACATTTAAGTTTGGTGGTACTCAAGTGGCTCAGTTTAAAATGATGTGATCTGCACAAAATTTGAAGCCTACTATTGTCAACCTTGTCATTTCTGGCTGGCTTTGAGAAATGTTTTGATTAGGTCTGCTATATAACAACAAAGATGAAAGCTGGGGGTCAAGGACAAGATTTACCTACATTTTCTGATGAAGCCTGCAACAACAAGCAATGTGATGCCCTACCCCACCCATTTGCAGCTTTCTCGAGTTCCCTAGGGGTCAGTCACCAGCTGCAGTGAGGTGAGGAGGGGTACAACGCTATTCTTCCTTTATATAGGGTATTAAGCAACTTGCAACACAGTTGAAACACTGTTAGGAGCATTGTCAACCAGCATGGCCAGGCTTGTCAGCCTAATTCACAGCAACAAAAACATCCAATCAACCACTCTCAGTCCTATGCATTCTCCTCCTAGAGCTGTCATGGCTGCCAAGAAAGCTTCCACCTGGGTTAGAGTACAGGTCAATGCTACAGTGTGAGGTGACAGTGGCCTGATGGGCAGTGGGACTGCTCCCATCCTTGGAGAATTAAGAGAGCAAACTGAGCACTGAACAGGACATCTCTGTTTTAGAGAAAGGGGAGAGGAGATAGGAGCATGAGGATTGAGAAATGCACAGAGAAGACGAAAGCTTCAGTGGGCTGGGAAGAGGTGGAGCTGAAGGCCCAGGAGCAGAATGTTAATAAACACAAGAATCGCCAGCCCTGCCTCTCCTCACTATTGTACCAGGGCTAAGGGCCTAAAGAACAGAGGTAGAAAATGCAGGTAGAAGAGCAATGGATAGGACTGGAGGTGGCAATTTATGACCATTAGTGTTCACATGCAAGGTGCACACAATAGTTTAGTTGTCCTGGAAGAAAACTGCTGAGACCTGCTCATTGTCCCTGCCTACCCTTGCGACCTTGCGTTAAACTTCAAGTGACTTACTGACCTACCCTCAAGACTTTGGGCTTACCCTCAAATGGCACTTGTGGATCACCTGAATCTCACTGTTCATGCCTGCCCTGAAATGGCTGGGCTCACTTTCCAGAGAGTCACATGATCAGCTGTCAGAGCTAGGAGCACACAGACCTGGCTAACCAGAACAGAGACTCCATTCCCATGTGAGGTGGGATGCCATGAATGTCTTTCACGGTTCCGGGGTTGTCTGTTTCTAGGACATGTACCTAGAGCACAAGCTAGCAGCCCCTGGCATCAGGCAGCCGGATCCCCAGGAGAAAAAGCACCCCTAGGCGGCAGGGCAGAGGCCCTGCATGAAGGGCTTACCTCTGCTCATGGTAACAGTTTGTACAAGGCTACTCTCTGAAGGAAACATACCAGTAGTAACTGGAAAATCACAGCCAGAAATCACCACTCAATAGTTGTAGTTAGAAAAGCTCACAAACACAAAATCATGAAGAGAACTTAAAAACAACAACAACAAAAAAACAAACAACAAACCTGATTCTTTTCACTTTTAAATGTGATCTTTAAAAAATGGGGGGAGGAGCGCTGAAGAGATGGCTCAGTGGCTAACTAACTGCTCTTCCAAGGACTCAGGTTCAATTCTCAGCACCCGTAGGTTGGCTCACCTCTGGCTTCTGTGGGCACTAGGTACACACATGGCACACCTACATGCATGCAGGTAAAACACCCATACACATACAGTAAATTCTTAAAAATTTGACAAAAAGATAAATAAAATTTCAATCTAAACAGGATGTTAGAGCTGCTAAACTCAGCCTGGAACTTCTGAAGACAGATGCGGAACATGAGAGACTGGGCCTAAAGGTTTTTCCAAATGAGATTCAATTCTGCCTCCAAGTAAAGCAGCTCTTTGCAGTGCAAGAGAAAAACAATTTAATAATGAAAATAAATTTTGTATCACACAGGGCACGAGCTAAATAAGACCAGGCAACACATTAGAGGTGGCCTCTCTGCATGATGTCCTGAAGGGATGAAAAAAATAAACACCGATTTCTAAATAAATGCAAGGGAGTCAGACCCTAGGTGTCACCCTTCATCCACAACCTCTGAGCATTTTCAATCAGGGACAAACAGTTTCAGGACCACATTGACTCCCTGCCTCCTCCAGTTATCTGTGGGATAATGAATTTCAGGACTCACACTTCGGTTCTTCCTTTCAGCCATGAATGTTTGCAAGCGAAATTAGAAGTTTGTCTCTCACTAACATTTTAAGATTGGTTATTTTTATACCCAGCTTCATGTCTCTCACTCTTAGACCAGCTGCTCCATACAGGCCAAAAAGTCACCAGAATCATTTCTACTAAAATGTGAATGGTCACGATTCCAAAGGCACAGTTCTTTGCTGCCACTTTCCACCCTCTATGCAGTCTTAGGTCCTGAAAACTGTGAAGATCCTCAGGTCACTATCTCCCTTTCAGAATCCTGGGCTATGTGCCTCCTGCCGGCCTTGAAGGTCAGAGTCCTGTCATGCACTCAGGCCCATAGTTCTCCTTGTGACCCTTCCTTATCTTAGGTCTTAGGGGATGAGAGCAAGACACCATGATCATGGCAGATCACTTCCCCACCACAGCAGTCAGAGGCAAACTCAGCTGGGGCAAGCTCAGATCTGAGGCTTTGGAAGCCATGAGGAAGGGCCACACAGGTGAGGTCAGTGACCAAGAAAACCAAGCGAAGACTCCAGGTCTCAGGAGGTATCTGGGCCATGTAGCACCATCCTGGTAGGAAAAGAACCTTGGCCAGATGCTATACATCCAAATCTGACAGCAGACAGGTCCCAAGCCCAGGAGTTGCAAGACCAGCCCAGGTGAGACACTTGGCCCATTCAATGGAAAGCATCATCACTAGACATCGTCTAGCTATGTCTGCCCACCAAGTCAAGACTTGATCCCCCAAGCTAAAATATAGGCTGTAACCAAACACAGATTCCAAAGCTGGGGAGCAAACTGAAGCCCACCAACTAATCCTCTGTCACCCTTCTTCAGACTTTTCTTGTGGCTTTTAGGGATGTGCCTCATCTTTGGACTAAGCATCAAATAGTGGAGTGAAGGAGTGACTTTTGTGAGAGGAAGAAGCATACGAATGACACTGGCTCCTGATCAGCAACACACTGTCCCTGACACGATGCTGCACTGCTCAACAGCAATAAACACTGACCCTAACCCCATTCGTGCTCCAGCTCACATCAACCCTAGGCACCTACTCATCCAAGCCAGGTCTCTTGAGGTAATCATACACAAGATTGCCCTCTGTGTGGGAACTGTTCCCAACCTAAAGCTTGCTATTTGTATGATCACGTTCCTAAGTTGCCCGAACACATCTTTCTGTCTTCCATCTTCATCTTGGGGCCCCCTTATCAATAAGGGCCAATAGGTCTCGAGATCACAATCAGTTTGTCATGCATGTAAAATTTGCCAACACACCCTGCTACCCTACCCATACCTCGGAAGGCCAGAGATAGGCCCGCTGAACATAGGCTGCTGCGTTGTGTATTGAGAGGGTTTCCTCAGACTCCTTCCCTGGAGGACTAATGGAACTCGGCTCCAGCAGAAGCAAGTGGGAGAAACAGAATGAGAAAACCACAGCCCAGAGGGAGGGGAGTTACTGTATGAAAAAAATGGGTTTTCAATTATAAAGCAGGAGGGTGTGTGTGTGTAAACATGACTTTAGGAAGGAGAAAGGAACAATCCAGAAGGAATTGGAAGGGTGAGCATGATCAAAATACATTGTATGCACATATGATATTCTCAAAGAATATTTTTGAAATAATTAAAAAAAAGAAAAAGAAAGAAAGCCACAGCCCAACACCAGAGCCCCAGATCCTAGGGACATTTCCCGTTTCTAACTGATTCTGAGTCAGGAGGACACAGCTTCTTGCTGCAGTTCTGTGGAGGCTGACCCAGCACCATCCACTTCAAGGCTGCTCTGAATTTTCATTCCCTCAAAATTACATCCTTCCTCCTAAGTGATTCTTTTTTTGTTTTTTGTGATCTGTGATTTTTTTTGTTTGTTTTGTTTTTTGAGACAGGGTTTCTCTGTGTAGCCCTAGATGTCCTGGAACTCCCTCTGTAGACCAGGCTGGCCTCAAACTCTGAGTGATTGATTGATGGTTTAAAGTGATATTGCCAGGAAAATGGGACTACATCACCCTTGTCCGAGACTCCAGGGCAGAAAGGGCACCCTGGACCTACAGCTGCTGTATTCTATTTGCACACCCACGGTTTCCAAGGTAGAGAGGGGCCACCAAGTACAGACACAGGAGAGAAGGCCACAAGGGGCATCCCCGGAATGAGGTCAGCAGATCCCCCAGGGGCTGGCTGGTTACAGCCAAGCATCTATTTTCCATGCACCATGATCAGCAGGTATTTTCCAAAAATGATACAAGTTATTATAGAAAACATTTCCCCCACCCCAAGACGGCTCCAGCGCTTCCCCAACAGAGCATTCCTCAGCTCACACTTCCGAACACAGCAGAATAAAGAGGACTGTCTCTCAGCCTGCACTCGGTGTGGCATTGTCTAAAGAGAAACCGGAACACACGCTCTGAGGCTGCCAGAGACAGGATGTCAACTCTATTTTTTGAAAACCATCTCTAGCATCTTCGTAGAAGAAGACAGGGTATTTGCCTCTGGGAGGTTTTGTACTCAGCCTGAGGTACTTAGCAGAAAATGTCCAACTCTACTTCAGTACAGGGATACACCACATGCACAGTGCTCAAACTTTATTTATTTATTTGTATTTTATGTGCATTGGTGTTCTGCCTGCAGGTATGCCTGTGTGAGGGTGTCAGATCTTGGAGCTATAGACAGTTGTGAGCTGCCATTTGGGTGCTGGGAATTGAACCTGGTCCTCTGGAAGAACAGCTGGTGCTCCCAACTGCTGAGCCATCTCTAAACTTTAGGCAACTCACTCTATCTTAAAGTTATTCTGCAAAGAGTTAAGAAATAAACCTGGCAGGGGTAGGATGTCGGGGTGAGTGGGGAGTGGGGTCCTTGGTGCTTGGTGCTTTCCCTTTCATGGCAATTCAGCTTGTTTATACTTTGGCAACAAGAACAAAGACTCCTCTGATTTTTGTTTCTTATCCCTGCCCTGTATCCCACTGTTCCCAGTCTGGACATCCACACTAGGTCCACCTCCTGTCTCCAGGAGGGGACCCGATTTGGGCTCTAGCTAGGGAGACCCATGTGTGGGTTCTTGGGATTTCTGTTCCTATTTCACAGCTGGGAGGTCCTCTTCAAATGACCTACTCTGTGAGGTGGAGTTGGACAGGCAGGGCTGTTGGTGACCCCAGTTCTAGTTCCCACAGGCTGGCAAACTCTGGATATGTGGCCCTGATTCTCAATCTGTAAAGTGAGACATAGCTCTGCTTTCCCAGGAGAGGTGCTGTGAACACCCATATGATAAAAGCAAAGTGCTAACTTCGGCTAACTGCATACCGGTATATGTTAGGTGTGCAAGTGCAAGGCTACTGTCCACAAACATGGTCTTCTCCACCACAGGCAAACAAGCCTCATCTCAGAGACTGAGATGCCAAGGCTCGAAAAGGCTCACTACCTCATTCAAGGCTCAAACTACACAACAAAGTGGGGTTCAGCCCTGGTTCGACACACCAAGTTCACTGGGCTGGCCAAACTCAGGGTAGGGCAGAGAGTGGGACTGAAGGCACAGCTCACTGGCAGCTTGAGGGTGAGATGCCACCTACGGGCTATTACCAAATACTAGGGAGTATTACCCTAAGCCTAGAAGCCAGGCAGGAAGACTCTAAATGACTCATCAATGTTATACTCCATGCAAAAATTAAAGGCTGGTACACTCCCGTCTGTGAGCCAAATGGTCTGCTACCCCTTCTGTGAAGAAAAAATAAAAAGCAACTTCCTGGAATAGGCCACTTCTCTGCATACTGCCAGCCTGTACGGGCGACAGAGTGACAGAGGAGAGCAGCCGTGACAGCGATGCCCTGCAGCCTGAGATGTCTACTATGGCTCTTTATCCTCTTATCTAGACCATCATCCCATGTCTTGGAAAGAGTTTTGTTTTCACTTCCTACTTATTATTGACTCTCCATAAAGTTTGATAGGAATTTCTAGAAAACAGAAGAGTTACAAATTACTTTGTCCCACAGAGAAACAAAGGGTACCTATAGGAAAAGAAGGTAACTCCAAGACAGATTCTCTTTTGGTTCTGGTGAACCAGTACTAATGAGCTTTACATATAACTGGTCTTCCACCTCACTCGAAGTCTTTTTTATTCTCTGTGCTATGTGCTAGCTTTTCCCACTCTCCTCTGCCTGGCTGCACTCTCTCATCCATACACCTATGTGCTCAGTGTGTGTTTGTGCATGAGTTACACTTTTAACTTCAGAAAAATCACACTTCATGGAACACCCACAATGCCAGCCTGGCCAGTGGTTAGCAAAGCAGCCCTGGGACCCATGGCACACACAGCATTCCCAGAAGGCAGTGCACCGCAGCAGCAAACAGGTACCTTGGTGTCCTGGCGGCTGCGGGAAGCCAGGGCGATCTGCCTGGCCAGCTTCAGGGCTTCTATCCGCATGATGGCAAACTCTAACTCCTCCTGCCCGAGGGGTAGGGTGAGCAAATCGTAGGGAAATGCATCAAGACAGACAGAAGGTTTTCCACATCCAGGAATGAATGTGCCACATAAATGCATATGACAGGTGCGCATGGGAAAACATACGCTCATCTTTCACAACCAACACCTCAGCAGATCATGAAACAGGGGTTTAATTTCCTTTTTGGAAAAAAAAAATCACCCCTTTGAAGGTCTGTCAAGAAATATCATGCAGCCAAATGTGAACTGACTTTCAAAACAGGACAGCAATTTTTACTCTACGGCATTTCTTGATATCTTTCCTTTTGTTCTTTAAAAGCTAACCAGTGCTTGCTGTCAATGACCATGCATCTCTCGGATGCCTGTTAACAATCTCTCTAGGTCAACCTTGCTTCCTAGACCAGGGGGATAGCAAATTAAGCCGTAAAATTTCCACTCCAGAGATAACTGTTTTCGTTCCAGACTGAGTCCAGGAGTTATTTCAATGGGAATTTGGGATCATCTTATGTATTTAAACAGCTTGGCTTGACCTGATACTTTTGATTTGGTGAATAAATCATAAACGCTGCCTGTGGGGCTATCAATACATCAGAAAAATGACTATTGGGGCCAGTTTCCCAATAGAAATAGAAACAGTCCATTCAGTACATAATCACACTTTGTATAATTCTGGCATCCTGGCTATAGCACACACATATATCAGCATCTGAGAGGAAAAGACTCCATCTGGAACATTCCCAGTATTGCCTCATTAAGTACTGCCTCAGCTCAATTTGGCTCGGGGGTTCATTTTCTACTGAGGTTTTGACAAACTCCCAAAAGGTCACATAGGGGCTACAAACCTGAAGTTTCTGAGCAAATACTGGGGGGTTCTTTTCTGCTAAGTCAGGCTCCAGATAGTCAAGTGCACCACAGAGAGAGGCAGGATGGGCCAGCCTGCTGAGGAGGGCATCCGCAGAGGCAAAGGCACCCTCCGGAGCTGTCTGAAGGCCGGCAGAGAGGAGCACGGAAAATAGAGGAGAGTAGAAAGATATTGATTTCAAGCAAGGACCACACTGTACATTGCTGCATTAAGGCTAAAGAGAACATCAGTTAGTGGTCAATACGCATACTGCCATTTGGACTGAGACTGGCAGGCCCAGCCCCTTCTCCCAAAAGCAGGGCCTCAGGAGCCCTTCCCTGGCCCAACTCACTCTTGTTTCCTAGCCAGAGCAGTGGGAGCCACATAACCACTGCTTTTTTATTTGAAAATCTCCATGGGTGGGAGGCAAGCTAGTTGATGGGTTTTCAAATGCCAACATAGTTCATCAAAGAAACAGCACCAACAATAAATATCAAGGAAAGTGAGGTTTGAGTAAGGGCCATTTTCAATAGTGAAAAGACGATTTCAAACAAAAGGGTAACTCCTTGTAGATTAGAAAGACTTCCAAATCAGAGGGCAACTTTGCAGGAGATGAGCCACGGCCAAGTCTGTCACAGTATTTATAGGCAACATCGAATCACATCTAGACCCTGTAATTGTTCACTAATTGTGTTTCCGGTATTCAACCCAGTGTCCACCTGCTACATGCATAGCAGCAGGTGCTCTGTAAATGTCTGTAGCATGAGACAGATCAAATTGTCTAATACAGAACAAAAGCAATACACCGAATCAGTTTCAAACCTGTATGGAGACTGCCAGAAGGGAGGCGAAAGAAAAAAATATAATTGACCCAAGTTGGTTTGTTTAAGACATATGGAAGACCCTTGTGTGGATATTTCACACTCTAGGGAGACCACACGTAACATGCAGGGAGTGGGGACAGTGGGGCTCATCTCAGGGCTATGGATCCTGTAAGGTTTCAGGAGGGTTTGGGAGAGGATAAGTTGAAGTCCTGGACCATAAGCAAGAGAAATCACCTATCACTGAGATCCAGGAGAAACACAGCTGATCCCCCACAGCAACCCTTCCTTATTTTGCTATACAGGCTAGCAAGGCAGGGGTTGGCTGATCATGGCTCTAGCTTGTCCATCCATCCAGCTCTAAAAATGGAGAAACAAGCCTGAACAAATAAAGCACTTGACTGAGAACTGCATAGCTACCATGGGAGAAATGAAGGCCTTTCCCTCTCTGTGAGATGTGGGGTCTTCTAGGCTGACTGCTGTGGTCTAGGGGCCAGAGTGGGACCCCACACGGGCCTTCACAGCCAGGTGAAGAAAGACTGCATTAGAGGGCCCAGCCATAGAGCCCCTCAGGCAACACTTACAATCTCAATTGCCTCTGTGGGGGTACCCAAGGCCATGGCTTCCAGATCCTTCTGGGATGACTTCTCTGGCACCTGCAAGAGAGGCTCCTGATTGGAGCCCAGCCCACGTGTGACAGGATGCTGGAGTTTTGCTGCAGCATTCACAAGGGCTTCAGTCTCCTCAAAACTCGACCTGAGGAAAAAAGGCAATTGTTAAGGTCTTCTCCTTGGAGACTCACTGAAGTCTATTAGGAAGCTCTCACTAGAGAGACAACATCTCACAAGAACCAAGACTTCCAAGTCTGTGTCCAATGAGAGATACAGGCTAGGTCTTCAGTGGCCATCCACCTACAGGCAGGCTACAGTCCAGCCATGTTTAAGGGCCAGCTGACAAGGGAAGGACAGAACACAGATGCCTTTGGCAAGGGGACTGAGCTCTGGAGTTGAGGGGCCAGCCACTTGCTTGCCTGTGTATTCTGAGGGGAGAGATGAGTAACACACCCACTCTGTTTTTAGAAAATGGAGGTAGGTGCCTTTGGGAAGAGGAAGTGAGATGCTGTATGAATGGAAAGCACTCCACACAGTGCCTGTCATATGGGGCCACTCCTGGAGAGATGATGTCACTGTACTAACACCTACCATCTGGACAGAGTTTGGTCTGCTGGGCCTACAGTAAGTCTGAGAGACCAAAGCAAGAGCTCCCAACCTGCTCAGTATAGAGCAGGTATCCAGTGATGGATGAGATGACCTAAATAATAAAGCAATGCCTCACACTTCCCCGTCAAAGGCTACACCATTTCGAACATGGACACCGGCACGTGCAAACATTAACATCCACATTAACAAGAAATGTCTGTCATGCACTTTGCATGTGCTCGGCACTTTGACACTGGCTTTCCATACATTGTCTCCTAGAAGCCAGGTTCCCTGTGTCCATCTCTTGACTACTCTGGGGACTGATAGTCTTCTTTAATCTTCCCAAGTCCCTGGAGGTCACTTTATTCCTCTCGCTTTGCACACAGGAAAGTTGAGGCATAGGACACCTAAGTAACTTGCACCAGATACAGAGCTGAGACTTATGCTTTCAGTTTCATGCCACACTGCCATTGGACAGATGACAAAACAGAGTTCAGTGTGAACTGGCTCTGTGTGTGTGTGTGTGTGTGTGTGTGTGTGTGTGTGTGTGTGTGTCTGCTAGAGGATACTGCCAGTCAGCTGTTTCACCTTCACTCAAAGGGCCCTTGGAAACAGAAGTGACCCATCTATGCCCTTGTGGACAGACTGAGTTATGGGCTACCTGTAGACACGCAATGGAATGTAGTCAGAATAACAGTGGGGAGGTATACAAGGACTGGGGGCCTCTGGCCTAAGCCATAACTCTCTCATCATAGAAATCATACCCTGAACATGGAGTTGGGGAATCCGACATCCGGACTGGAGGAGACTTGACGGGGCTCTCCTGAGAGGTGTCAAACATAAGGTACAAGGCCTGCTTCTTCGGAGTGTCATCATCCTGCTGCAGGAATCAAAGTCACACATATATTAGCCAGGTACAGTGGCCTGAGTATGGCACTCAAGCGAAGAAAGCACTCGTCAATAAGTAACAAGGAAGCCTTTGGTTTTCTCAAGCTCCCAGAAGACAGGAGAAGCCAGGAGACGACCAGGAGAGGGTCAGGAGGGTGGGAGAGAGGGACCCATGGAGACCTTAGGTGGGAATAACCCACTGATGCTGCTATGTGCCCTATTCTGCTCCACGGTGCTCATGGGCCACAGTGGTAAACACTGCTGAGGAGGCAGAGTTAGCCAGCTACGATCTGTCCTCACAGTGGGACGGGGGATGACAGCATGCTGACCCCAGTGAGGAGCACTGCCACTGAGGCACTGTAGTGGTTTGAATGAGATGTCCCCCACAGTATTGGGCATTGGAATACTTGGTCCCCAGATGACAGTGTTTGGAAGGCTTAGGAGACGTGGCCTTGCTGGAAGAAGTTGTGTTACTAGAGACAGGCTCTGGGAGTTTAAAGACTGCTTCTTGCTGTGGTTCAAGATGTGCCTCTGCTCTGCTATCATGGACTCTTAATCTTCTGGAACCATAAGACCCAATTGGTAATGGTGTTTTATCACAGCAATAGAAAAGTAACTAAGACAGACCCCAAAGAAAGAGTCTGGGCAATGGGCTTGGTCAGACATGACAAGGCTTCTTTCCTCTTGGCTGGGCAGGAGTGTCATGAGCAGAAGTCTTGGCAGGGCCTGAGGCTCAGAACCCCTGAGAGTCCATCCATGATCAAGGACTATAGGAGAGTGCAGGTGGACTTGGGCACTGACTGTACAATGTGTGGCTAAAAGGAACAAGAGTTACCGGTAAGGTGTTCAGACTAGAGTCCTCAGATCTGTAGCAATGAGTCTAGGAATGGGGACTGGCATTTCTGTGCAGTGGGACAACTCTGGAGAACCCTGCGCAGATTTGCTGAAGACCCAATAAAAGCCCCCACCAGGCCAGTTAAGAGGAGGAACTCACGGGTAAGGAGGAGCCAAGCTTTTCCATGTATTCAATTTCATAGGAGTTTCTGTAGTCCAGTTCTGAAAACAAATAGGCAAGATGAGCACCAGGGGAAGACTGCAAGACCTGGCTGGGCAGGGGGAATGCTGAGCTTTTGGTGACCATCACTGACTACAGTCTTCAGATCCAGCCTCCAGCGAGGCCCAGGTCAGCTATTTTCAGACAATCCATAAGCTTCCTGCTGGTAGGAGCTTTGGCCCTTAGGAATGTGAATGAGTCCCAAGGAAGTGAAGCCATGTGTCCATACGCAGGTCTGCAATGGGCAGACCCAAGTACTTCCATTGTGTTCAGACTGGAGGGCACAGGTGTTTGGGGATCATTTATTTCTGACTCTCAAGGGCTGCACATAGGATGGCATGCCATGGTGACATCCTAAAAATGTACTGTATCTGCCCCTCTCTGTGAATTCAGAAGCCCCAGGACAGGGGCTTCATCAGCTGGTTAATTCCCTCAGTTCTACTGGTAGCTTCGGGGCTAAGGTCTGACATTTCAAGGTATTAGGGCTCTCTCTTGAGGTCCCATGATCCCAGTTACTAGGGAGAGCATGTGAGTTCAGGGCCTGCCTGGGCTATAGAGTTAGGTTCAAGGGTAGCCTGGGCAACTTAATGAGAAGACTCTTGTCTCAAAATGGGAAAAATTAAGAGGGCTGGGGATGTAGCTCAGTGGAAGTGCTTGCCTGGAATGTACAGTGCCCTAGGTACAATTCCTAGTACAAGAAAGGGAGGAATGGAGGGAGGGAGGAAAGGAGTGAGAGAGGGAGGGAGGGAGGGTGCAGATAAAGTCAAGTGCGACTTTAGCCCCCTCTCACACCATGCCACATGCAGGTGGCAGGCAAGGAACAGTTCCACCATTAGTACTAAGTGGTGGCATGTGTCTTTACAACTTCAGGGGAAGCTGAGTCATGAAAGCATAGGGCTACTTCACACTAAAGAGGTCCATAGTTATTCTTAATAATCCTCTTGGATCCAAGGACCACTTTGGAGAATGATCTCACACCAGGGCATCACACAGCAAAGAGAACTTGGCTGTTTTCTCCAATCTAATTGCTAGAGATTTGCTAGGGCAGTGCCCTGGGCAGGGGATGAAGGGTCTTCATTTCCAAGACCAGCCTACTGGACTTCTCTGTACCTGCTGATTCGACAACAAAATGAAGCTCAAAGTGCCACACTGTCCCAGATAACATGACAAGGTGTAACAAAAAGTCCTACAATGAGTTATACAATATGAAGAATTATGACCAGACTCGCTATTGCTCATTCTAATGTTTCTCTCTAAATAGAAGTTATGTTTAATTAAGGGGAGATAGACAGAGAGCCCTGGAGAAGGATGAGGAAACTACACTCACCTTCTCCTGTCCCCTTTTCAGTCTCTGTTAGGAGACAACCATGGTGTTCCCTCAGATGGACAGCTTGCCCTCTGCTGGATGTGGGGAAAAGGGGCAAATGCAGTTGTGTATAGCAAGGTGGGACCACCAAGTGGCTAGGTAGATTTGTGGGTCCAAAAGCAATTGCTCAGGGATGCAGAGATGGCTCTTTGGTTAAGAATATGCACTGTTCTCCCAGAGGACAGGATTCAGTTCCCAGCACCCACACTGGACAGCTCATAGCCACCTGTAACTCCAGCTCTTTGGAGCCACTGTCCTCTGGACTCCAAGGGCATGTGTAAACACATGATGCCCATAAGCTCATGTAAGCACACACTCACACATACATAAAAATAAATAAATCAAAACCAAAACGAAACAAAAACAGCTGCTATCAGCTTCTCCGGGCCAGGTGAGGTCCCAGAGACAGGCTGGCCTAATGTTCCCTAGTCTTATATTTTTGGTTGTGAACCTAGCCTTTAACGGCTGAGCCATCTCTCCAGCCCTGTTCCCTAGTCTTTTCCTCCTTAGAAAACAGGTTTGTTTCCATGCCACCGTGTCTAAAAATGGTGCAGAAGGGCATTCATTAAACAGGTGAGCACACTTATAACTCAAGCAGAGTGTGCAATCACTGGCAGGTTATGGAGGCAACACAGTTACGGAGGGCACTCCAACTACATGGGCAACTGCTAACTTATGGCCCTGTGGGGTTTTGAAATAGCAAAGTCAGTTCTACGTGTGCACCCAGGTAGGAAGGAACAGGACTAGCTCACACCCTCATCCTACAAATGAAGGCAGAGAGCCTGGTCTATTCTCACCACCACAGCAGCATAGAACAATGAAGCCAGGCAGGCCTGGCCTAAACAGATCATCCGGGACTTTCTCGGTGCACGGCCTATTTCCTCAGTCTTAGAGTGGGGACTGCAGGATCTAGTACAGAGTTCAGAGGAAATGAAGCCCTGTGTGCAAAATGATAGCCCCTGCTTTCCTCTTCTCTCCTATAGAATTACCGTTGCTGTGAACGTATGTTCGAAGAGTAATTATGATGTCTAACCCGACATTTCCTTTTCCTGTGGTTGGTGAAGTCTCAGACCGCAGCTGCAGCCCTGAACGGATTCACTGAGGAGTGCATCAGCAACCCCCACCCCCAGATGTCTGATATGCTCAACTTGTCCTTGCTTAAAGAACAAGAGGGAAGACTTGACAAGAGGTTTCTCCATCCAGGGTGTGTTACAGAGGTGGATGCAGCAGGACCAGTACCTCCTAAACTCATGATGTCTTCACTAGGATGGATTCTCTCTCACCCAATGGCTAAAACTGATCATCACTTGCCAAATCTTTACTATTTCCCAAGGAGGCAGAAGTCAGAGTTTTGTTTCAAAGTTAAATATATGCCTATTTGCTGAACTAACTCTCTCTCTCTCTCTCTCTCTCTCTCTCTCTCTCTCTCTCTCTCACACACACAACACATTAATACAGAAAAAAACCCTATGAATGTGAGTAGGTGCACACCGCGGTGCATGCATGGATGTCAAAGGATAACCTTGTCATTCCTTGCCCTCCACTTGTTTGAGGTGCGCTTTCTTGTTCAGATGAATATAACAGGATATCTGGCCACTGAGCTTCTGAAGAGTCTCCTGTGCTTGCGTCCAGCAGGAGTGCTTCATTACAGATATTTGTACTGCACATCAGACTTTTACAGGGGTTCTTGGGATTCGATCTCATGATGTCCTCACACTTGCACAGCAAGCACTTGTTTTTTGTTTTTTTTTTTTTTTGTTTGTTTGTTTGTTTTGTTTTTCGAGACAGGGTTTCTCTGTGTAGCTTTGTAGACCAAGCTGGTCCAGCAAGCACTCACCGAGTCATCTCCCTAATCCCTCCTTATTTGCTGGATTTTTGCAGAAACAATTGTCAAAAGCTATTTTAGCACATGATCAACACACTCCCAGATCAAATGTGTTCAATCTCAGTACCAACCCCAAGCCGGGTTCCAAACACTTTTCTCTGGTGTTTAGAATTTTTTTTTTAAATCTAGCTCAAGAGAGGTGGGCCAGCAGGAAACAGGAGATGATATCAAAGTGGGAAGTAAGATGCATTTGTCCAAATGTCCTCACTGCTTCTGTGACATTAGGCTTCTCTCCCTTCTCAGGTTCCAATACTTCATGCAGGTGATGGATGTTACAAAGATCAAACTGACTGAGCCAACACTCAGCTGGTTACGACCTTGCATTTATTTTGCCTCAAACCCATCTTTAGCTTCCATGATGCTCCTAGTAGTGTGGGGACATGGAAAAGAATCAAGAGTTGTGCCTTCAGTAAACAAACAGCCTAGTAATGAACAAGAAATGCACACACATCTTCATCATTAAGAGGCCTCAGATCAAGCAGTAAAGACAGGCAGGGAAAGGAGTGGATATCCAGGAGAAGGCTGAGCCAGGCAAAGGGGGGAAACGGTGGGGGAACTTGTGGTTCTCCTGTCGCTATCTTCCAGACTGCTGGGGGTATAGGTATGTGCCACTATACCTAGTATTTATGCAGAGGGGAGTGAACCTGGGGCTTCATGCATGCACTCTACCATCTGAGTACACCCTAAAATACATGAATTATTCCTGTCAACCAATAAGAGAGAAAGCAGCAACTGAATACACAGTACAAAGGAAGACACTGAGATAAGACAAGTGCTTGGGATCTCCCCAAAACCATCAAGTCCTCATCAGCACGCCTGGGGAAAACCTCTGGCTCCAGGCTTGATTAAAATGTGTGACCATATAGTCGGGGATCAATCTGTGGAGGATATGAACAATGATGGCACCAAAAAGCCCATAGGTGGGTTGACCTACAGTCAGGGCTCAACATGATTGATGTTCCTTTGGAGCTGTGCCTTTCAAAACTACAGGAGGTATCAAGCCATACAGTCAAGAGCAAGCAAGTGAGGCTGCAGGATGTGGTTAGAAGGGACTGGTCTGGTTCTCAGCAGGCATCATATGGTCAAGGAACAGCTGTTCTCAAGCCTTAGCTTTGCATACAGTGGGAGGTGTGCAGACTGTCACACGGGTAATGGTTACCTGGCTGGCAAGTATCTTTCCTGGCTCTTTGCCCCCTAGCGACAGTATTCTCCAAGGCAAGGTGTGGGTCTGGTTGGCCACCGAGTTGCTTACCCTCTGAGGGTGAATTGAATTTGGTCTCATTTACAAAGTTAGACAGGTCTGAGGGCTGTGGGAAGTCCTGTTTGTCAGCATCCAAGTCCACTGTCATACATGTCCACTTCTGGCTGGTGACAGCCAGCTTCTCCTCATCTGTGGCATGGACCACTGTAGAGATTGCTGGGGGTGCTTCCGGCGTGGCAGCTGGAGTGGGGTCCTGTGAAGAGAGAGGACAGCCTCTTTTTTTACCCAGTCTCCTGATCAGAAACCCTGCCCCTCAAACCGGGGAAACTCCTCCATCTGCTCCACTGGTCCTCTGATCCACAGCGCCCCCTTGAGGAAACTTCCCTCTGTTGATCTCCTTTACTGATGGTTGATTTCAGGGCGTGACCATGCATTTATCAAAACTAATAAGTAAAAAATAAAAAACAAAAAAAACCCCAATAACCCTGGACATGTTAACTCCTGCCTGAAATCCTAACATATGAGAGGCTGAGACAAGAAGACTGCTGGGAGTGTGAGGCCAGACTGGGCTGTGGTGTAAGACCTTTCCTCCAAGGACTGGGGGTGTGGCTCAATGGTATGGTGCTTGCCTTGCTTGTGCACAGTCCTGGGTTCAATACCCAGCACTGAAACCAACAACAAAAAGCCTCAGTATTGTGGTTCACACCTGTGATCCCCACACTCAACGAGACTGAAGCTAGCCTGGGGTATGCAATATCAGGCCAACCTGATCTAGGGTGAGACCCTGCCTCAAAACAAACAATAAATAAGCTTCTGTCTTGGTTACCTGAGACACCCCAGTTAGTTTCACAGTAGTATCATCAGCACTGTCCAGTCTTCACACTAGTTCTTTTACGGGGTTGTACTGCCACCGTACAGTGAGAACCCAGGGGAGAACTACAGATGGACCTGAAGTCTCCTGTCCCTGGAGCTAAGGTCCTCGTATGTTCTTTCACTCCCACCTGGTCAGCAACTGAAACTGGTTTGAACATGAAGATCAACTTGTCTTATGGTAGCAAGCCTGCCTGAGGATTACCTTCTTTGGTCTATGAGGGTAGCAGATATGGCGTGAGCATGTTAGAAACACCACTAAGAGGGAAAGAGACTCATAATAAATTCAAGCCCTCACTTCTTTTTCTTAGAGATTTATTTCATGTGTGTATGTATACGTACCACGTATGTGCAGTAACCACAGAGGCCAGAAGAGGTTATTAGAACCCTTGTACAGACAGCTATGAACCACCATGTGGGTGTTGGAAATTGAACTTTGATCCTCATCAAGAGCAGCAAGTACTTTTAATCAATGAACCATCTCTCTAGCCTCAAGCTTCTTAAGGGTAAACTTCCCTCATCTTCCTACTCTAATTCTGATGGTATAACTTGGTATTTCTGACATGGTCAGGTTTTCCCCCATTTTCTCACTCTGTGTCCCTTGGTCTCAAAAGACAACTTAATGCAAGTTTTCAACAGGTAAAATGGCCAGAATAGACTAGAAGAATTCCTGCCATAAAATCCAGTCCTCATTCTCAACTAATCCCTCTCAATGCACAGCTTGATCTTTACCAAAGTGAGAGGGATCAAAACACGCCAGGCCATAAAAAAAAAGGAAAACTCTATTCTCCCTGTGTTTTGGTGTGCATGTATGCATGTGTGCGTGGTGTATGTGCACATGTGCAGGAGTGTGTATTTGCATGTGTGTGTGCACAAGTACATGAATGGGGTGTATGTGTGTACTTGTGCATGTGTGTGCGTGTGAACATGTATGTGTGTGTGTGGGTACACACAAAGCAGTATTAACTTCCTGGTCAGCAGTGCAATACTCAAGACATCAAGGGAATGCTGTACCTGAGAAGGCGGATCGGACAGAGGAGACCTCTTTGGTGACTTCTTCACCCTGAATGTATCACTGTCAATAAAATGGGAAATGTAAACATGGGGTCACAGATCACTCCCAAACACCCAGCAACCACCCAGCCCTCCCACCTGCCCAACAGCCCATTCTGACTTTTTAACTGATATTATTTTTGGCCCCAAGAGGAGAATCCATCAAGCTTGAGCCCTTTTAGCGAGAAGCCATTTTGGAGAGCTGACCCAGAAAAATGCAGCTAAATTTAACTAACTGTTCTTAACTATCACACAGCACAGCTGTGGTGAGGAGACTAATTTCTGAGCCCAACTAAGGTTGGGGGAGGGGCTGCAGCGCATGACACTAATTAACAGGATTCAATTTTCACATGGGCAAGGAGACACAGCTCTTAATGAACAGCTAGAGGAGCCTCACGGAAACAGAAATATTCTGGATCCTGTGGGGATCGGGAGCCCTTTGTACTCACAGGAACACACAGCGCAATGTGTAGGACTCTGGGTAGACTAAAGGCACAGTCGAGGAAGATGGGATTTTATGCCTTTCCCTGGCTGAGGGTAATGGACATGAATCCATACTCTTGTCTCCTTTTCTTTTTCCTTCATACAGAGTAAGAGAGGTGGGGCAGACTGACTCCAGGAGAAAGGGATGGATTTTAGCATAAATAATACTATTTAGTCCACTAGTCACCATGCTCTTGGGATCATTTCTATAATCAAAATGAGAGCCCTCAACCTGCAAGCTGGCCCTTCCCTCCTGGTTTCCATCTCTCCCCAGTATGGTGTTAGGACCAGGGAAAACTGGAGCTTAGGTGTGGAGGAGGCAGAGTCCCTCAATTAAAGTCTCATAAACCCTCTTCTGTTTTCCTTGTTAACTAAGTAGATAGAGAAATCCAACACTTAAGTTCCTTCCTTGTGTACTCTCAAATAAAACACTCCAACAATGGCATTTGATCATTAAAAAATACCATAAATGGTTATTTACAGCATTTATGGCATTTGCCATAAAAACAGTCAGGTCCCAACATAAGGTATATATTTATTCATGCATATAAATATATAGCTGTTTAACAGATGCTAAATGACTTGAAAATACCAAAGCAGTGGCTTGGGTAGGACAGAATTGGGAGACTCCAGGTTTTCCTGGAGGCTGCCAGAAGCCTGGGTCCAGGTCAGTTTCTCCTGTAAGGACAGGGAGAAGGCACATAGATTCAGAGTCCCAAGCTCTGCCCTGGCTAGGGTATGGAGCACCAGAGGTACACAGTAACCAGTTGCATTGATGCCTGGCAGGGCTATCCATAGATGAGACATTTTAATATCCAGCCTAGACATAAGTAACCATAGACATGGGCCAAGGCACTCTGGCAATGGTTCTCAGCCATGGGTTCCACTCTGAGCTGATCCCACATTCCCTAAGATTTCTGCAAGCATGAATTTGGAAGAGCCCAAATGTTAGTGCCTCATAATGTAACAAGAAACAGGCTCGGCAGTCTCTGCCCCAGGCTTCATGCAGTGCTTAATAGGAAAGCATCCTGCTACCGAAAGCAATCACCGCCAGCCCAACTTACAACAAGAGAACCAATGAGGAGTTAAAAACCAATATATGGATTTCAGATGAAAATACCAAAAAAAAAAAAAAAAAAAAAAAAAAAAAAAAAAAAAAAAACCAAGCAGGGGAAGGGTTCCATTCTGGACAAGCAGGCAGCTGTTGGCTAATCATGTTTTCATAGCTCAGTAGTCTCATGCTAATCATTATGAAACAGAAAAGTAACCTTGACTGCAGGGGAGCCCTGACCCATCATTCCCAAGCTCTACACAGAAATACAGCAGCCACCACAGAGAGAAAAGGAAAGGGGATTGCAAGCAGAAACAAGGCAGAAGCCCCACACTGGGTGCAAGAGGCAGATTGCATTAAATTTACTTACAACAGAGAACACACAGACATCACATCTTCAACCATCCTAAGACAAAGAAGACAAAGAAGAGAGACAGACAGAAGGAACTGACAAAAAGATAAATCTGCAGACACCAGGCACTAGTGGTATAGGATGTGGCAGCCATCCATAGAGGATTCTGTCCAGGGTGCAAAGTCCAGCCTTCTGGGGAGGGGCTGTTGGAATACAGCTTTCTCTTAGTTTCTGACCATCTGGAGGGATGGTACCTAAGAGTTCTGCCTCCGAGAGGCAGTCTTCCAAACCAGCAGACCTACATGTACTAAAGGTGACATCAGGATGCAGGGTCAGCTTCCCCAGCTGTCTCAGCTCTAATAAACAAAGGAGAAAACAACTGGAGATAGACTATGCTATCTTGGGTCAGAAGAAGGGAGTGGCTACCAAGTGGGAAGCCAAGATGGGAAGTTATGGCTTTAAAGTGTATTTCTGAGTATTATTCCACCACCATCACCCCCTACAGGGTTTCTCTGTATAACAGCTCTGGCTGTCCTGGAACTTGCTCAGTAGACCAGGCTGGCCTCAAACTGAAAGATTTGCTGGCCTCTGCCTTCCCAAGTGCTGGGATTAAAGGCATGCACCACCACCGCCTGGCTAATATTCCACTTTTAAAATAAAGTTCTGTGGGGAGCTAGGGAGGATTTGGGAAGAATTGGAGGGAGGAGAAGCCATGATCAGAATATACTGTTTGAAAAAAACTGTATTTTCAGTAAAAGTTAAAATTATTTAAAAAAATAAGGTTCTAATATGGATCTTATATACGAAGGGCCTGGTTGGGGAACAGAGCTAAAAGTCCATGTTTGGAGCCAGAATAGCCTTCAGTTACTGTAAGATGGTGGCAGAGTAACTTAAGGCCAAAGCAGAACCTGCACTATTCTTAGATACCGGATGCAGATGGGTCATCCTGTGTCATTCAAGCCAAGCAGACGCAGGGGTGAGCTCTGGGGTTTGTTCCACTGCCCTGGGATGGGAGGCTGAGTCTCTCCCACCTATCAAGTTACAGTGATGCTTCCCAAGAGAGACAGGATGTCTGTACCAACCGGGCACATCGTCCTCATGTTATAGGCCCTTAGGAAGGGACCGATCACCGACAAAGTTGGGTTTCTCAGGATGAGTGCCCACATCAACACAAAGCAGCCAGGGCAATTGCTGGCAAGTGTTTGTGGACAAAAGCCATTCTTCCTAGAGATTGTAGTGTTTGTTTCTCCCATCCAGGTCCCACCATCCACTTCAGGTATTACAGAGACTTTCAAGTCTTATTTGAAAAAGATGACCAGAGAGTGGGAAGGCAACAAAGAGCCCATTTTTTTACAGGTTCACCAGAGGGCAAGCAGTAGCTCTCTGTCCATGGCCTCCTGCAGCCTGCTACCACAAGTGGCCCCTGAGTTAAAGTTATATTAGCAGGTAGAAACAAATGCTATAAATTTTAACAGTATTTTGCAGGGTGTATATCCCAGCTAATCAAAAGGCAAATGCATATGCTACCCAGGGAAGATTTTGGCCACCAAAGGGAAGGTGGCCAGGATGACTCCTTTTCTACAGAACTTATAATATTCCCCTGGAGTTGAAAGGTCATCATTGGCGCATAAAACTTCAAGACAAGGATGTCGTGAGTTCAGGGATGGGGAGATAATACCGGGGAGGCCTTGGAAAGAAAGGAAATATGTATCCCGCCTCCTTGGAGAAAGAGCCACAAAAAATGGTGTCATTACAGCAACAGGGGGCAGGATGAGGGTAGCTGGGGATTTTCCAGGCACAGGCAGGACTTAAGTCACAGCAATGCACACCCACTCTGAGTCCTCACCACCTCCCTCCTTGAACTTACGTCTTCAGGGGAGTCTTCTTCTTCTTGGCGGGCTTATTCAACCCGTCCCCATCCACTTCAACGGTGCTGGCTGGGATCTCAAAAGAGGCTGGGGATTTGGAAGGTGAACTGGGGGTCTTAGAAGATGTCTTAAAAGGGTCAAGGGACTCTTCACAGGCGTCAGGGTCAAAGTTGTACGACTGTTGGGGCAGTTTGGGAGACTCTTGCATTTTGGAGGTGGAGGAAAAAGGGTTAAAGTTGGGGTCATCCCATTTGTCTATATCAAAGGTGTAGGTACCTTTAGCAATGGGGATGTCATTGGGTTCAGTAGGGGACCTTGGAGGTGAGGCAGGAGTGTTGTCGAGTTTCTCAGGTGTCTTTTTCATCTTTGGCCTCCTTAGGGGCATTTTGGCAACTGGCTTCTTGCCTATCTTTTTGGTGGGAGGGGCGTTTTCCTGCTGAGTGTCCCAACTACCCTTGTCCTCAGAATAGTCAAACTCCAGCCTCACTGAGAGCCCTTTGGCAGGCAAGTCCTCCTGCCCTCCACTGTCCGATGGCAGGGTCACCTCCACTGCCTCAGGGGCTGTGGTAAGAGGCACTGATTTCCTCCCCACAGGGGGTGAGTTCTGCACTCTGCCACCCCCAGAAACCAGAGGGCTGATGTCTTCTGCACTCTCCAAAGTCAAAGGAGAGGTGGCTGTGGGCACAGGTGTGGGCTCCAGGGGTGTCTCCTCTGACGAGGTGCACCCAGCGCCCTCAGGTGTGGACGACTCCGTCTTCGTCTCTGGTGCAAGGTGTTCCTCGCTGGGAACTGGACTCTCTTCACCTGGCTCCTGCTGGGTCTCCTTCACTGTAGGGGTTTCTGTGGCTTTCTTGGTGGCCTGTTTCTTTTTTAAGGAAGGTGGCCGTGTTTTTTTAGTTCGCTTAAGGGTGCTGGAAGCACTGTTGGATCCTGTACCACATGCATCTGTGGCAAGGGCCCCAGCTTCCGGGCTGCCCGGGCAGGAAGCACCATCAAAGTCGCTGGCTTGCAGACTGAGCGAGCGGGAAAGTGTAGACTTGGAGGGGGGCACGGACTCGGTGGATTTCCTTCGTGTGCTCACCTTACACTCCTGACCCTTATAGTCGGCAGAGCATGGCTCCAAGCTCTGAAAGTTGTCCACCAACTCAATGCTGTCAAAGTCTAAGTTGTAAGTCCCACTGCTGGCTATCGGCTTGTCTTCATCGAACACGGCCGAGGAGGAGTGAGAAGGACGGAAAGGGCTTCCTTCCACGGAGTCACTGTGAGGGCCATCGGGAACCACAACCGGCTCAGAACTGCATCCTGAGGAAACAGAGACAAAGCTGTCACCTAGAGACATAGGACACTTGAGAACACTTCTCGCTCTGTGACAGATCCCCACTCCACAGAGCAGAGGTTAATAAACTCCAAAGATGGGCACCCTGTATGGGCAACAAATCGTGGTTTCACAGCAACACTGGCTCCAGACCCTGGACAGGTTTCCCTCGGTTCCCTCATCTGTACAATGGGAGCCAGGTAGCTGATGAAAGAAAAGCCCCATGGTTCATTCCAAAGCAGTTTATCAAGTGCGTGGCCTTGACCAGAGGCCATACTGAGAATCTGAGCAACAATCAGAAAAGAGATGAAGGCTGGCGGTAGACCACTGTCCTCTCAGTCTATCAGTCATTACCATCACCACCAAAGCATCCGTTGACTACTTAACTTGCAAGAGACTCTAAGATCAGGCCTAATGACAGTCCCTCATGAAGAAGGGGTTGGGGAGGGTGGTTAGACCCTCACCTAGAGTCTCATCACCTCTTCCTAAACATACCCAAGCTAATTGGTCTCATTGTAGAGCATAGAATGCCAGCTGAATAGAGGACTCTATCTTTGCATCTAAGAAGGAATTGTCATCCACGCTGAGGTGACTTTCTATGGTATGGCTGTCTTGAGGTTACCCAAACTCTGCAAGTAAGGCCAAGCTGGATTCTAGAGGAATGGTACTTTAATCTGTCATTAGTGCCCTCCTATCAGGCTTGTTTGTAATCTCACCAGGAAGTTCACAAAACCAAGAGAAAGCATCTTAGATAGAAAGGGCTATGTATGCAAAGGTCCTGGGGTAGGAGCACCCAGGGAGTGTTATAAAAGCAGTGATGCAGATGATGTGGCTAAAGTCAGACAGGAGCAAGACAGGAAACAAAGAAGGCACGGAAAAAAAAAAAAAAAAACAGTCAACCTTTGGTATATAAATTAAATATGGTCAAAGCCACCCTGATCCTGGCTGTTCAGACACTGGGAAGAATGTACAAGGCTTTAAGTGAGGTGCCCATACAAGTGAGCAGGACTGAGCTTTCCCCTCACCACCTGCCCCTCCAGACAAGACCTGGACCCTCCCCCACCAAACTGCCCACCTGCCTTGCTCTGGCTTTGCCTCTTGTCCATTCTCAGTCCTCTCCTCCTAGCTTTTCAGCTCTACCAACCCTGCCAGTCAATGAGGCTGCTCCTTATCTTCCAATACACTCACAGACTCCAAATGTCAGCCAAAGGATGCCCAATGATCTCACTGCCCCAGTGCTCCCAGAAATCCCACCAGCCTTTGCATGGATTTCTGGGTTCCAAGCTGTTCTGCTAGAAAAGGGGAAATCTTGTACCATGGTCTGCAGAGGCAGAACATAAAATAGAAAAGGCTATGCAGCACTGATGGAACTGTGACCTTGGACTGTGCACATGGACAGTCATTAGGATGCATTAGCCCCTCTCTTTAGGTAAACTTCTGGCTAAAGTCCAGGAAGCCATTACAACCGAGTTTCAGACAAATGGACAGTTTCTAAGAGTGTGTATCACAGAGATTCAAACTGGCCTGGGTGTCCTCCATTTTTACTTTCTAAATGAATGGTTATCTTACCCTTTGTCCCAACAATCCAGGTGTGGGAAAGGCTCACATTCAAACAAGCCAGTCTGTTTCTGTAAAATGCACCCCACTTCTCCCCACCCTGAGCTGTGGATACTCTCTGCTGTTGGCAGGGTGGGGAGGGGGGCGGTCATCTCATGCTGCTTCCTAACTTAGCTCACAGGCAAACCCTGCAGCTGGAGCCCAGCTGATAAGTTGGGAGATGACAGTGTAAGGAAATGGCAGGCCTCTCAGGTTCAGAAAGAGGTTCGCATACCTCTGTTTCCAGCCTAGGGAAGCTTACCTGTCATTCCAGGAGCCAATGCTGGCTCCAGGCCTTCCCATCTCTCGCCTAACCCCAACTCCACTAGGCATAGATGCCCTAAGCATTTGCAGCCTCTGGTCCCAGCTCTTTGCACCAAATTATTTCCTACCACTACCAAACACTCACTTCCTTCTCGTCTCAGAACAGGCGTCCACCTTTCTTCCTTCTGAAGTCACATCCCTTCTGAGGCCCTCGGGCCTTCAAGCACAGCTTCTTCCAGTCACGAGCAACCTGTCTTCCTGCCCCGTGGCTGCTCCGGGATACTTGGTTCAGAAGGAAGGAGACCATAGATGCTGGGGGGTGGGGTGGGGGCTAGGGAGGTCCAAGTGTCCTCATATGGGCTTTGGCTGCAGGGAGAGGGCCCTCAGCAATTCTTTCACTTCTGCAGACAGACCCTCCAGTGCCAGCCTTCCCTTTCAATCTGTTCCATCACCTCGGCAGCCTTCAAATGTCAGTACTTTCCCCCTAATCATGCAACAGTCAGCAGACATTCAGCTTAACATCTGCTTTGTTTTCCTGCCTACTTAGCCTGGCTTTCCTATTCAGAAGTGCTGTTCCCTAATTAAGTCACAGGCAAAGAAAATCAGTTTTGCTGCAGTTTCTTATCTCCAGCCCAAGGATGCTTGGGGGCAATCCCTCATTGCGGGGTGCCAGCCTGTTCGGTGTAACAATACTTCACCCCATTCGTAGCTTTGACCTACTAGATGGCAGCAGCACCTTCTATCCTACTTGTGACAATATGTCTCCAGATACTGCCGCCTGTCCCCAGGAGGACAACACTGTTCCTGGTTGGGGGCTGCTATTTTATAGAATCGTTCTCAGAGCAGATGGCTCTCCCTATGGTCCTTCACAAGGTTGGGATGGCCTCTCCACATCATCGCCATGGGCAAGCCCTGACTTGCAAGGCAAGTATGTCCAATTGGGTTCCCACTAGGTTTTTACATAGCAACGTAGATCTGCATAAAGACTTCATTCATCCGAAACGTGGTGACCTGACAACTGACATCACCCCCATGAAGTCTTTTCACATTTCCTAGCCTTACTGGAGTGTTTCCTAAGTGACACTCGAGATGGCCAAGGAGCTCCCTCCTGCACTGTGAACTCTCTCAGGGACAGGGATGCAATGGTTAGAGTGAACCCTTGGCATCCTGACATGACATGCTCAGATTCTCAACTGACTAATAAATCAAGCCCACAGGAAGCATAGCTGACCATCTGAGTACACTAATATGGAAATGGTCTCATTTTTAAGCAGGCTAATGGAGATCAACAGAGCATTTCTTGGTCCTCTTGTGGCATTTTGCTGGTAGTTGTAGGTAACCCAGAGCAAGCATATATATTATGAATTCAAGATCTTCCAACTTGTCCAGCCTAAAACACATCTGGGACACTCATCAAAGCCTACACTTCCACTTGCCCACCACTGATCAGTCCGCCCCTTCCTAAGGAGTAGACCAGCAGAGCCAAAGCTTTGAATTTCCATTTTAGCAGGTGCCATAAGTGAGTATCCTGGTCAGGGAAGCCTGGGGCTCATTCCTTTTTAAACATTAAAAACATTTTTTTAAAGAAATTTTATGTGTAGGGGTGTCTTGCCTGTATACATATCTGTACACCACATGTGTACCTGAGATCTGTGGAGGTCAGAATGGGACACTAGATTCCCTGGTACTGAAGTCACGGACAGTTGTGAGCTACCGTGTGGGTGCTGGGACTAGAATTCAGGTCCTCTGGAAGAGTAGCCAGTGCTCTTAACCACTGCGCCATCGCTCCAGCCTCACTTCAATCTCAACGTTTTGCTCCCATCCTGTAAGACAATACTTTAGCACCTGGCCACACAGTTGAGGGTGAGCTCAGACAAGCCAGGTTCAGTCGTGAGGCTGAACCTCCCTGTGAGGCTGCCCAGACAAAGGCAGGTCTACAGTGTCTACTGCCCTCCTTGGATGTGGTCCAAAATTCAAGGCTCAAGAAACTAAACCCAAAATGGGTCAGCAAGAGTGGCAGAGGTCCCTAGCTAGGCCTCTTCTCTCCGGAAGACGTGGCTGAGTCCTAAGAACCTGCACCTGGGGAGGAGGGCTCTCTGCACAGCTCCTGGATGTCCATCTTGTTCTGGCAGGTCTCCTCCCAGACCTCCCTCAAGTCCCAGAGGCATTCCAGAGATCAAGACTCTGGGACTGTGGTGGTTTGAATGTAACTACCTCCCCCCTCCTCCCCCACCCCCCCAATCTCATAGGGAGTGGAACTATTAGGAGTGGAACACTTGTTGGTGTGGGTATGGTCTTACTGGAGGAAGTGTGTCACTATGGGGGTGAGCCCTGAGGTTTCCTATGCTCAGGGTACTGCCCTGTGTCTCAGTTGACTTCCTGTTGCCTGCAAGATGTAGGACTCTCAGCTACCATCTGCCTGCGTGTCACCATGCTCCCCACCATGATGATAATGGACTGAACTTCTGAAACCGTAAGCTAAGTCACCCCAGTTAAATGTTTTTTCTTTATAAGAGTTGCCATGGTCATGGTATCTTTTCACAGCAATAGAAACCTTAACTAAGACAGGGACTAATGACAATTAGGCTGGTAAGAGTCTATGATAAGCAGACTTTTTTCATTAGGGTCCACTCAGTGAGAAGTTAAGTGACATGGCAGCCAGGATGGTGAGAGACCAATGGGGGCTTTGTACAAGTGACATCACCTGGGGCTGGAGAGATGGCTCAGTGTCTGGGAGCATTGACTGCTCTTCCAGAGGTCCTGAGTTCAATTCCCAGCAACCACATGGTGGCTCACAACCATCTGTAATGAGATCTGGTGCCCTCTTCTGGCCTGCAGGCATATATGCAGACAGAATGTTGTTTACATAATAAATAAATCTTTAAAAAACAAAACAAAAACAAGTGGCATCACCTATAGGAATCCAAGAATACCTCTAAGGTGATAGTCCCACTGGGAGGTGGTCACTGAGATGGAACCTGGGCAGCTTGGGCTAGGTCCCAGTTCTACTGCATGCACAGCAAATGTCCCATTTCAGTCCTGTTTGGTCTCTTTTTCCACTGAGCTCTCTATCCAGAATGCCACAGTCCACTCTGGTAGGCCCCACGCTGAGCCACTGGTTTATCAT